CCCGTGTCTCACGCAGCGCTAACGAGAGAAGTCCCTTTGGTGCAGTGCACGCACACGCCAAGCTCTAATGTCCTTAGGTGGTAGGAAGAAACACAGCAAAATCCAAATTATGGAAACATATTACAAGGTGTAGTGAGTTTTTACCTGTCGTTATGGTATAGGTATAGAGTTGGCTTTTATTAACGCTCGAACACTTCCCAGGTTTCTCATGCACTCGCACTCCTGCACAGTCGCCCTCGGTGGGGGTTTCAGTAGCCCTTCCCAAACTCATGGTCACGAACATGGCAACTCAAGCTGAGCATGGAAATGGGTGGCTAGGAGAAAGTTAATGCCATTTACCTGGTAATGGCTATATCTTCCGTTTTAAAGCATATTACAACTAAATGTTTTGATTTGTTAGTATTAATCTTGCTAATGATTAGCCTATCCTGTTCTGGTTTTGTACAATATAATTCTTTGAAATCCCTGTTGCATTATACACACAAACACACCAGCACACTGCAAACAGCGCCAGCATGGAGCCACCCCCGCCTGGCAGAGCGTCCCAGCCAAGCCAACACCATCACCCTGGTCTTGGTGACGCTGGTGTCCAGAGGCCTGGGTTAAGAGTGGGAAGCTCATGCATCAACATGCAAACTCCCATCTGCTGCGCTCAGCTGTAATAGTGGGTTTGTGCTCTAAACCTTCAAAACCTGTTACATTGGGACAGGGAAGAGAAGGGAGTCGGCGGTTTTGATGATGCAAAATGAAAGTAAATTCACAAAACCAAGATTTGAGTTGTATCTAAAAAAAAAAAAAACGAGTACAGCTCCAGTCCCCAGCTGGTAATAATCCAGAGAGGACCGCTGTTGTAACAGTGAATTAGGGGTTTATGCCAGGAGGGGACACGGCCCTTTGGCTGCAGGAGGGACTTTGCAAACACCAGACGTGCACATTTGCACAGCTGAAACCTTTCCCCATGGCTGCTTCTCTGCTAAGTCCTGTGCCTCAAGGGGAGTGGGGGAGAACTAGAACAAGCGTTTAGTTCCACCCCCCCGCCCCGTGACCTGTCAAAATGCTTTAAACTAACCACAGAGACAGGCTGGCAGTTGGTGGAGACTGGCCCAACAGTGCAGGTGAGCTGAAGCCCGAAATGCCGACTGAGGCGGCTGCCCCAGAGCGCTGCCAGCCCGGCACTTCCCACCCACAGCTTCTTTGCCCTATGCTGCAGAGCAGCTTCTCAGAGACACTTTCCTGGTGGGAATAACTGGGTTCCCTCCATTGCACTGCCTTGCAGACAGCTTCTCACGAGGCTTTTAATGCATCAGGTTTAAGACAGCAGCTTCTTTGCCTGCATAGACATATGCAGCACAAATCGCGTGTCCAGGTTTCTCTCAGCCTGCCAGCCTCCGCGATCCCTCCTGCCTGGCAGCTCTGGTGCAGGCAGGAGCTCCGATGGCCACGCAACGCAAGCTGCAGGCACCAACCTGTGCAGCGCCGTGTACATCAGCTGCCAAACAGGGTCCTGGCCACCCGTCCTGCTGCAGCGTGGTAGGACCAGGTTTTCCCTGCGGAAGAGGTTTCCAGTGTCCATCAGTCCCTGGGGACACCATGGTCTCACGCACTCAGTCCTTCCTGCTCCGAGAACGATCAGAAATCCAGCGCACGCACCCGGACACGCAGGTCAGTGCCTGCAAGAGGAGGAAGCAGGAGATGTGGACACGAGTGGAGGGGAGCCCAGTGTGGGAACTGTGTCCAAACCAACCACGTCCTGCAGCTCCCAGGCAAAACCAGTGGAGGATCAGCAGTCATCTGCAAAGTCAGTGCAACTGTTCCTGTACAGGGTGACCAAATTCAGCTTCTGCTGGAAGGTCTTGGGAGCACTGCACAAGCCTCGTGCTTTGTGCCAACCGCCAGACCCCCCCAGGACTTAGGGAAACCCCTCAGGATCAGTCATGGCATCACTGCCGAGGGCAGACTTTTGCACCTTTCTCTGCATCAGCTGGTGCTGCTGGATACAGAGGGCACATACCGATAGGGTTGTGCGCCTGTATATGAAGCCCAAAATTAATCCTTTCCTCCGCTGCCAGCTCCAGGAAGGATTTCACCAATACATAACAAAGGAGCACTATTTTTCCCCTTTCTCTGCCCCTGAAAAGCTAGGATAGACCTGTGAGAAGCTGCCGCTGAGTGGCAGGAGGAGTACAGGCTGGGCACAAGCACTTCACCCTTTCCAGCACCAGGGCTTCAGCAGGCACCATCCCTGGGCACGCAGCAGGATAAGGGCACTGCAGATCTACCAGCACGCTTGTCATAAGCTTGCTTGCCAGCTTCTCTGGAGATTGCATATGTGGCATTTTCCTCTGGTTTCAAGCCTCTTGGCTGTTCTGTAGCCCCCTGCAAACCTTTGCTGTCCCATCTCCTCCCTCCTTTCAACTCGCCCTCCATCTGCAGAAGCATTAGTACAAATGACTTGCACAGCCACTTACTTGCACTCCCTTTCATATGAGCTCAGCAGCCTTTTCTCTTCCCTGGTGCTCTGAGGTTTAAACCTTGTGCTCCAACTAGAGACAGCAAATCCAGCAGCAAATGTTCTTTGAAAGCAAGAAGGAACTAGAGCTCTTTTACCAACAGCTTGATGAAATTCTCCTCCAGCATCTCGAACAGCGCTTGTTCTTTGCAGAGGGACCCGCAAAGCTCATTCGCACCATGTCTCTGGGCTAGGCAGTGTCATTCGCAGAGCGCAGCACGGCGCTGGCAGCAGAGAGGGGGTTTCCAGCCATCCAGCTCAGTGGATTAGCATGGGAGTACATCACATTTTTACGTAACCAGTGGCTGTGCTTGCTCGGACTTGCTATACCTGGGAGTTTTCTCCATTTATTCAGTCAGTGGGGGAAGGTTTTAACAGCATCTGAGAAAACAGGACTAGAGGCAACTCAGGGCTGCAGAAGGTGCAGATGTTGGTCACGCAAGCACACAGGAACCATTGGTCTTGCGCAGGCACAAGTGCACACACGTATCCTCAGACAGGGATGCAAAAATTCTTTCCTGCGCCAACATGCATATGAAGACCCTGACGCCACCACTCTTGCACACATCTTTCTGGACAGAGCTATATCTTTGTTTCAAAAAAGAGGTCGTGGCAATCCTTCCCTACCTGACAAAATGTTGTTGGTAAGCCTGAAGTAGCCAATTGCTTTGGGAAGGAATCAGACTAACAGATTATTCAAATTTTGCCAAGAATGGGAAAGCTGAACTGGGATCCTGCTTGCATTGCAGAGCGAGGGGTGGAGGGCAGCAAGGTGACCATCAGCCAGAGGAACTGCTGTTAACAAGGGGCAAATATCAAGGCCCTTTTTGTGCCATATTGTTTGCTTTCTGCAGAATGTTTGTCTTGCTGGCTACTTCTGGGATGTGTATGCAAGAGCATTTTTCATGCTCAGTGAGTTAATTGTTAGCCACGGACAAGTGGCCATTGAGCAATTAGAAGTCACAATACAAGGAAGAAAGCACAACAGAACACCTTTCATCTTAACAGGGAAATAAAAGCCTTTTTCTTCTACTGGGAATTACCCTTAATAAAATTGTGCCACTTGACAACCTGAAATCAAATTCCTCTGAATGTCTATAAAGATTTTCCTTGGCACCTATCATCTTTTTTAGAACTTGGAGTACGCAGATAGATCAACAGCCATGCCCAGGAAATGCCCATTCCCACCACTCAGTGTCCAACAGCCCACTCAGCTCAGGCCAAAGAACACAGCTTAGTGAATTAAGAGCCTCTGAGCCATCACTCAGTCCAAAGCAGGGGGAAGGTCAGAAATATTCATCCTGAAGACTATGGACATGTTTCAAGAGATAAAATTTGGTTTGACATTACCCAATAGCCCTAATTTTGGGTCCTGGCCAAGGGTTAATTTTGGTGCAGTAGGTTTATTGGATATACAGGTGGGACAGTGCTTTACTGGTTTAAGTCTGATTCTTGGAGGGGTGGGAGGTGAGAGATCTGGGAAGGAAAGATCAGTAAAACACAGGTTTCAGATGGGAACTTTGCTCTACGGCATAAGGAAGAAATTTGGACATAAGGAAGAAGTTTTTACAATGAGGGTGGTAAGACACTGGCACAGGTTGCCCAGAGAAGTTGTAGATGCCCCACCAGTGGAAATGTTCAAAGTCAGGTTGGATGGGGCTTTGAGCAACACGACCTAATGAAAGAAGTCCCTGCCCGTGGCAGGGGGGGTGAACTAGATGATCTTTGAAGATCCTTTCCAAACCAAACCATTGTGTGATTCTGTGAGAGCAGGTTTTCCTAAGGAGTGGTTTTGGCACTCAGGCTTACGAGCGAACAAGCCTTCCTTTCACTGCATGAACAACATTGAAAAAAAATATGACCACAGCTATTAAAATATTAGAAGCAGCATTATCTCCTGGCAAGGATCAAGTCAGCAGTTGAGCTCCGGGTTGCCACCTGACTCTCATGCCTGCCAGGGCTCAGTGGCTTTTGGACCATTTTTGGACTTCAGCCTTGCGAGGGACTGTTCTGATTTACAAGTGTAAAACCAGATACCATTTCTGATTTTGAATCAACTCTCTTCTGATTTGGCCAAAATCGCTTTTTATGCTGTGCACACCACTGTTGTTGCCTGTCTGTGGGACACCGTCCCTGGGGCACTCTGCTCTGACGGACACATTGGTGGCTTGCAGGCAATGCATTAACCGAGTTTGTCATAAGAACAACTCCCTCATTTTACAGAAGGGAAGCCTGGGGTGTTAGGATGAGACCCACGGGCAGCCATGACGCCATGCAGCAACACGCAAGAACAGAGTTATCAGCTCCCTCTTTCCCATTCAGTGGCTTGACAGAAGCTATTAAATGCTATATTTCTCTCTAGCTCAAGTAGCCATAACCCTCGTATCCTCCAGGCATGAGGATTATTAGATGACTTGATCAGTTAATGTAATCATTTTGCAGATGTGATTATTCACCAACTTCTGTGTTTCTTCCAAGGAATGCAAGAAAAATGACTTTACTAGCGTTCATCTTCCTACTCGCTTTCGTCCCAGCTGAATCTGCAAGCAGCAGACACCTCCCCAAGGCAGCAAGTAAGTGTAACCTGTCTGGCTTGTCTTGTGGGTGGCCTAAGACCAGAGGTGGCATTACTAAGGGGGGAGCAGGGTTCAGGGAGGCTCTCTACCCCATCAATGCCCATCACTGCCATGGGACCGTCCAGACCACATGATGCTGCACAGCCCTGGGTCCGCGCTTGCCCTGTACACCCGACCTGCTCTGCAGCTCCATCAGGTTGTGTAGCACAGTTGACATTTACAGCCAACATGTTTTCCTCTTGCAGTCGCAAGCCCTGTGTTCGGACCACGGCAGGTATATGGTCTGGTCAATGGGTCAGTTACTGTGAAATGCTTCTACCCTCCCACCCGTGTGAACATACACGACAGAAAGTATTGGTGCAGGGAATCGGCCTCGGGCTGCATGACCATCGTGTCCACCAACGGCTACATTGCTCCAGGCTACCAAGGCAGAGCCTCCATCACTGACCACCCTGAGGCAGAAAGCTTCCAGATTAACCTCTCCGAGCTTACAATGGCAGACACAGGCACCTACCAGTGCGGTGTTGGTATCAACGGCAGAGGGCTCTCCCACAAAGTCAATCTGGCTGTTTCCAAAGGTAATTATAGTCTTGGGGCTCCTTACAGTGTTATTTTCTTTTACCTTTTTCCCCCCTTTTTAATAAAGCTCCACAGATCGTCTGTCCAGTGTCTAAGAGCTCAAGATGCTCCATGCTTTCAGGAAACAGCAGTTTTCATTTTCCCCTGTGCTCTTACAGAATTAATTTTTTGACCAAAAACGTGGCATAAATATCAGATTAAACAAACCTCATCTTAAGGTCATGAACATTGCTTAGAAACAGGCGACCTCTCTCAGTCACTAAAATTTGGGGAGATGCAGTCGGAGGGCAGAGCTGCCCATCACTCTGATGTACCCTCCAACCCACGGCTGAGGCTGTGCGAGCCAAACCTGCGCACAAGTCCACGAGAGCACGGTGTGCAGGACGGCACCGTACTGCTGGGCAAGGCCCAGGCTGCAGAGCACGGTGCAAACTCATGGCACAGCCCCTGGCAAGAAGGCTCCGGGAGAAAGCCGGTACAGAGCAGGCAGTGTTACAGCATAGACCCCTCAGTCCTGAAATGTGTGACAGACACGGGACACCGCTGGGCAGATCATGCTCTGACCAGGAGGGGGATGTGATCATATAATATAGCAAAGTAGAGAGAAACCCTATGCTAAAAAAAGCCCTCAGAGATATATGGGAGCCGCACACAGTTACCGACAGAGCAGGGAGTAGACGCTGACTGGTGTCTCTGTGTGCACAGGTCCACATATACCCGAGGGAGCTGAGCTTTTCTACGTGAAGCTGCACAGCACTTTGAGCATGTCCTGCAACTTTGGGGCAGATTATGTGAGCACGAGGAAATTCTTGTGCAAAATGAAGAAAAACAGCTGCTATAACATCATCGATAGTTATGGGAATGTTGATGAGGATTACACAGGGCGAGTTCTGCTGAGCAACGAGGATCTTCCAGGCTCATTCAGCATCGTGATAACTCAGATGAGCTGGGAAGACTCAGGCTTGTACCTGTGTGGGGTCGGCTCCTATGGGGAGTATGGAGAAACAAAGGAACTGGATGTGCATGTTTATGAGGGTAAGCTATTCCCAGTGTTTTTTTCTCTTCATCTAGATACTTCTTTCTGTTCATTCAACTATCTGTAATGTACTAAACCATCACTAATAAAGCTTGTATCAAGACTTAACTTTCCCAGCAGGGGCTAGCTATCTTCCCCAGTCTGGCTAGCCCAAAACTCCAGAAAGCAAATTCTTCCTACCAGTTTGAGACAAGCAAACTGCCTCTTCAAGTCTTAATTCCTTAAATCTCAAAATGACAGGTATAGAAAGGAGAAGACCTGCCCTTCCCCTAGCAAAGGGAGCGAAACTTTGAAATATCAGTATACAAAGACCACCACCCCCCAGTGAATTTGGGAAAAAGAAAGGCCTGACAGACCCTTTAGGGTCAATTCCTAGCAGTGCCAAGACAGTCTCCTACCGTCTGCACCCCTGAGCTTCACCCAGCCTTGCTTTAGCCAAAACAGCTTTGTTTGATCTGATAATATTTATTTTTGATCTGATAATATTTATTCTCTTGGGAGAGTGCCACATGGGCAAAAGTTAGCCATGTATAGCTGCTCATTTCATTTTTATCTCCAGAGACAAGTGTTCCTCAAGGAAAGCCTACAATAATTGGAGTAAAAGGAAGTTCAGCAACTTTTGAATGCTTCTATGAGCGTCTAAAAGAGCCCACAGTGAAGTACTGGTGCAAGTGGAGACAGCAGGGGTGTGCTCGGATCATAGACAACATGGGGTACGTGTCAAGCTTGTATGAAGGAAGAGTGGCCATGTACGACAGCCCAGGTAACGCGACGATCACCATCATCCTGAACCAGCTGAAGGACAGTGACAAAGGCTATTACTGGTGCATGACAGATGAGGTGAAGGAGCAGCAATCATCAACCGAGCTGAAGATCATAGACGGTATGAGCTCGCGCGCTGGCAGTTCTCTGCCTGCTCAGTAGGTACAAACCAGCCTCCTAAGCACCACAAAGGAGCAGATCTGGCTGTTGGGGAAGAGGTGTGAGGTCCACCTCTCAGCTTTTATCTCGTAAGGCAAAACATTGTGCCAATCCTCCCACACCCCAGTAGCTTTAAAACAGAAACGCAATGTTTCAGTTTTATGGGAAAGCATTCAGAAAAGTTTCTCATGCAAGTATTTAAGCCTTGCAAAACACCCCCCAGCTTTTGCCCAGAGATGCATATACAACATCCTTAGCATTAATTTAGCAATGTAAGGAGCACTTTCCTTCACAGATACATCTCCTGGTTCACCATCCCTAGCAGCACCACTACCTGTTGCCTACCATTCCCACCACTGCAACCACTAACGTCAGCCTTGATGTTCTGTTTGGCTTGCAGGAGAACCTGGACTGAAGGGAAAGAAGGAAGTGGAGGCGCAAGTGGGTTCACGGGTCGATTTAACTTGTTCTTATCCATGCAAGTACTACTCCTACCAGAAGTACTGGTGCAAGTGGAACAACATCGGCTGCACCCCTATGCCTGCTTCTGACCAAAGGGAGCCGGGGCCAGACGTTACCTGTGACACTGACAACAAGACAGTTATCCTAAGCTTTGACTCGGTGGCAAAGACAGACGAAGGGTGGTACTGGTGTGGAGTGAAGCGCGACGGCCACTTCGGGGAAACCATGGCAGTCTACCTGCGGGTGACTGAAGGTGAGCTCCAAGGCAAAGGTGGCAGGGGCTTTCCTGCTCCTCAGGGCTGTGAATCACGCTGTCTTCTGCTGAGAGAAAAGTCCTCTCCATATCCACTAGGTTGCAGCACCTCAAAACAAAAATGCTCTCATCCAGGCAGCCTCCCAGACTAGGTGCCAAGATCACCCTGATTTTGCATAACTTGTCATAGATGTTTTCATCCACTCACTGGTTTCTGCTTCCTAGTCATAAAAAAACCCCACCAATCTAAAAATCACTTCCTTCCACACCATTTTTACTTTTTACCCCTGTCCTTACTAATTATTGCTATTATATTTGTAGCATCATTTAGTTTAAGCAACATCTGATACCTGTTGGGTGAAGGGCTGCATGTAGTTTAGAGACATCTTGCTCCAGGGAGCGTATTATCTTAATAAGCAGGAAAGCAGTAGGGAGCAGGAAAGGAAGGGCTATCACCAGCTCCCCGTGGACAGCAAGGGGCTTAGTCTCAGCTTTGGTGCAGTATCTTAATTTTCTTGGGAAGGAATATTGTTAGGAGCAGACCAGAGAAAAAGCATAGCACTAAATAGCCCACATGCAACCATCCTAAGTGGATGATGGTCAAAGTGAGAACAGAGAGAAACAGCCTCATTTCACTGCCTTTTGCAGGCAAAGAGCGAGAAATAAAAGCAAACCAAGTATTCAAAATTTATTCATTAAATACTAGAGGCAGAACTTAGAAACGCAAGACTTCTCAGAAGTATATAGTCAGAGAGAGCCTACTTGAGATTTTTGCAATAAGTTATTTGGAATGAGATTATTTCACATCCCTAAACCCCATTTTAAAGAGCCTCTCATGTACAGCCAAAACCCACTGCAGTTCCACATGCACCAAATACACCCAACTAGTTTTTGTGTCACTATCTCCATGCTGCCACTCAGACAACTAACCACCCTTCTTCCCTGGGAAATGTAGGAAGCAGTGCCGGCCACAACCTAGATCTCCTGGATGTTGATGCCCCCAGCCGCCCCCACCACCCCAGCCGAGCCGAGCCCCACACCCCAACCAAGACCCCAAACCGCGCCGAGGGTGGCTTTATTCCCCAAGGAAGAGCCTACAGCGATGCTGATGTGCAAAGTGCAGCTGCCTCGGAAAGGTTAGTTCTCTCCAAGCCTCTGCCTTTTATCGTTTTTGTGAGGTTTATATGAACCCGTTGTTGGTACTGTGTTTGCACCCTGCATGTGTGGTATAGCAACGAAAAAATCTTGTCCCCAAAGAACTTTGCTCAAAACATCAGAGGAAAAGAAGCAAAAAAGTTACAGCAAAAGGCAAGATGTCTTGAAAGTAATCTCTAGCTCAAGAAAATACAGTCCCAGAAGGGAACAATTAGAGATTCCAGGTACAGAAAAACTAATTGAAAATACTTCTGTCAAGATTAGAGCACTTTCCTTCACACATTTATAACCAAGCTGCTGATGTAGCTGGTTTTGTACAACCTCTGGCCACATTTTCATTTGTTCCCCTGTGATATGCTGGGATCCAGTTCATTAACTGAATTGCATCGTGCTCACTCAGATTTACCATCCTATATAGATTTTAGACAGATGGAAATTCATATGCATTATTCAGTCTTGAATAATTAAAAAAAAAAAAAGGCATTTCACAGCTTAGTGGTTTCTTTCCCTCCATTCCAGCTCTGATGGAAGCCATGGTGGCCCCAATGTACTTGCTTTTGTCCTGGGCCCTGTTGGCGCCTTGCTCCTGATCATCGTGATGGCTTTTGCCGTTTTTAAATACAGACAGCTGAGGAGATCCGGTGAGTCCCTGCCTTTTCTAGTCTCTCAAGAAATGTCAGCAATGTTAAGACGAAGGCAATACCTTGTGCACGCTGCCATCTCTGCTGGGCTGAGCTGCTCCCCGACACCCCCTCATGCCATGGGCAGGCAAGGGACCCTGCTTCTCCCACTGGCCCCACCATACGGCTCCAACGCCCAGCATACAGGCTGCCCGGGCTGACGCAGAGACCACCCCTCCGCAGGCTTTGCAGGTGGCATTGCACCGTGCCTCCTTGCACGGAGGCAGTTCAGATGCCAATGCGCTTGCACCGACTGAGAGTATTTATCTCCTCCCTCTTAACAGACCTGGTGTCCATCGGGAGCTACAGGACAAACATCAGCATGTCGGACTTCGAAAGCGTGAAAGAATACAGCGCAAGCAATAACGCCTGTGTGAAAGAGACCCAGGAGACTCAGATAGGAGGGGACGGTAGGTCGCTGACGGATGGGCTTGCTCTCCATCCCCAGCCCCGAGGCGAGGGGTGCCGGGGAGGGGTTTGCAGAAGGACCCTACAAAAGCCACAGAAATACCTGCCCACCAATGGCTCCAACACCCCAACACCTCCCTTTCTCTCCCTGCAGAGTTTATCACCACCGTGGCCACCCCAGAAAGCGCTGCCGAGACAAAGAAGGCAAAAAGGGTAAGAGGAGACAGGAGAGAGCGCCCACTGACCTAGGAGGCACATCACAGCTCTCCAGCCTCTGCCAAAGGAGCTGCCTTCTCCCAGGGGCCTTATTTATACCCAGGTGCTCGCCATCTTACCTGGGTCAGGCCACCTGCTGCAGATCAGCCTCCATAGGGGGGACCTTAACCCCTTCCTGGCCTCATGTTTTAGCAGAGACAATAATATGGTACACCAAGTCAGCCCCAGGTAGTGTCAGGAAGGTTGGGGCTGGGTTGTTACCATAAGTGTGAAACACTGGGATAAGCAGATGACCAGAGGCCGGAGCACATCCCACCTCCCAGCCTTCCCCCAGCGCTGTGCTCCCACGCAGGCAGCGGTTCAGGGGGCAGAGGTAGGCAGGGAGGTTTCTGCCATTACAAAGGCTGTGATTTGCTCTGGTGGCCCTGGCAAGCCCCTGCTTCCCCCCTGCCTTCTCCCTGCCTTCCCCCCTTGGGTAGGGTCATGGTCAAGTGGCACCACTCAGCAGTAACCGAAGGTGCCAGACGCAAGCCCTTCTTTTGAAAAGTCCCTAACCAAAGGTGATATCTAGGTGTTGTAAGTGCCAAGAGCTGAGCTGGACCAATAAAGGAAACTATCAGGGAACCAGTAAAATCCAGCAGCTTTAGGACAGTGAGCTGGATGCTGACACGCAGGGACAGGCATGCCGTGGAGCCCCAAACCCACAAATGTTTGGGGTCTTCCCAGGTCCAAACAAAGGTGTGATGCTCTCGCAATGGCACCGGCGTGACCCACCAGATTATCCCACTCATCCAGTCTGCCCATATCATCCCGAGAAGCTCACAGCCCATCTAACGCTGCCCTTTCCCTTGCCATGTGCTGCTGTCCATCCCCGGCCACCTAACAGTGTCCTCCTGTCCTTCCCCAGAGCTCCAAGGAGGATGCTGACCTCGCCTACTCCGCCTTCCTCCTCACCTCCAGCAGCATCGCACAGGGCAGCTCCGAGGGGGACAGCGCTGCCCCGGCCGTGTCCCCCCCGAACTGGGAGGGCTAGATCTGAAGACAAGGGACTGAGAGGCAGCAGCAACTGGGACCGGCTCTACCTTGAGGATCAGAGGAAGACATCAGCAAACAGCACTGTTTATTGATACCACAATTTGCTATAGCTTGACCTTTTTTTGCTTAAATTCAGCTTCAAGTGGTGATTTAGAGGAATCGCGTGATGCCAAAAGGGGTGGCTGGGCTGGAGGTGCAGGTCTGAGCAAGCAAGTTGGACTGGGAGATGGCAGGAGCTTGAGTGGCTTAGCCCACTGACAGCCCCAGCCCCACCAGTGCTCTTCCAACACTGTGGGCTCTCAAAGGCCAGAAGGTGTATTTTAAAAATTCTCATTTTCTGTTAAAGGCAGCTAGAAAACCCTCTAGAACAACTCGCGCTTTTGATTCCTCTAAGCTTTCTCATCCCGAGGGCAGTACCTGCAGACCAGACGTGGTCTGAAATGTTTTTAGGCAGAAGCAATAAAGAATAACATTGGCTTTCAGCAGACCGGGGGACTCGCAGTCCGTGGGAGGGCACGGGGAGAGCACATGCAAAGAGGCGCGGTGAGGGTGCATTTGGGGCGGGGGGCCTTTCTCCTCCTCTTAGGGCAGCATTACAGCATCACATCTGGTGTTGCAAACAGCACAGGACGGTAAAAGAAACCCACAATTAATGGAGACAAACAGGAAATGCTTTGAGTAATCTTATGTACATTTTCATCTACAGCAGGTATTGATCACAGAATGACAGTAATTAGTATGATGATCAATCAGCAGCCTATATAGCCAAGTAAGCAATAGGCACCGGTGTTCGCTGGCACTGTATTTGCATAGCACAGACCAAATTCCCCAGAGCACCGGAACCAACAGTCTCCCATTTCTGACTTGGAGTCGGAACAGCTGAGCCCAATCCATGCTCCTCTGCCACGGAGGCACCCCGCTAAGGGCGGCCTTGAAAACCCACGCTTTGAGCGTGGCTTAGACCCGAGCCACACATCCCTCGCACGCTTTCCCTGGCCGACTTCATGTTTATGCAGGTGGAAACGAGGATGACTGTAATTAAATGTTGTCTCTTGGTCTTATTTTCGAGAGTGGATGACTAAACACAGAAAAGCAATTTATTGATGCATGGATTTCCAAACAGCAGCACAGCACTGCTGTCTGTCAGTTAGATGAGAGTACAGAGAGCTGAATACCCTGCAGATAAAGCAATGTAGGAAGCAGCAATGATGAAGAAGTGACAAAGCAGAGAAGCAATTTCCCTGAACACCAGGAACGGGATGGGCTGGTGCCTGCCTGGCTAAGAGAGGGGCTGCGGAGGTGTCTGACAGGGCCAGAGCTGCTCGGGAGAGAAGGGGCAGAAACTGCACAGATAAATTCAAATTCCTGAGCCTGTGTTGGTTTCATGCAGCTCTGATAGCAAGCCATAAAATATAAAGAATAAGGAGCATCACCCTGGCTAGAGCCTGAGCTGATGGTCTTACAGTAACACCACAAGTATATTTCTGTTTTACTAAAATATTAGCTGCACTTTAAAATGAAAACAGTATGGTAACTCAGCAAGGTGTCAGGCAACGACTGATTGCGTTAGCCTACAGACACAGAGTCTTCATCAAGGATAAAACCCAAATTATTCCTGAATCATGGATTTCCCCACAATAAGCGCTGAGACGAGCTTTGCTCGCTGTGAGTAGGAGGGCAGCAGCTCCCATGGTATTTGTGTTTCCCCTCCCAGCCCTGCATTTTTGTTTTCAGGGCTGCTCTCACATCCACATTGCAATAGTCATCACCTTACTGACATCAAGGCTAGGACCTTAAATGTCAGGTTATAGCTCGTCTGCCTCATCTCCCAGGCTGCATCCCCTTGGCAGCACGGTGGGAAGGGGCTTGGATATGGGAAAAGGTGAGGAGGGGCCAGGACAGGTCTGCGCCTGCCTGGAGTTGCTGGAAGTGAATGAATTATTCTGGTGCAATAGGGAAGACGTGCGCTTGGAAAGCGTCCCCGGGGGTGAGCAGTCATAAAGCTGCAGGAGAATGCTAAGGTTTGGAAATTTCTGAGAGGAGAAAACCCCTTTCACTCTCCCTTCGCAAATCCGCTTCCTCTTCAGCCTGCCCGCCAGCGTCCTTTTCTCAGCTCCGCTCCTCCCGCACCACACTGGGAGCAGCGAGAATGAGCTAAACTCCTGGGAGAGGTGCAGAGGGCGAGAAACGTGGGTGCGCTGAGGATCCTGCCAGCCGGCTCTGCCTGCACCCCTCAGCCCCAGCAGCTGCCTGCCAGCGGCTCCTGCTCCTTCCCACCGCTGACACTTCCATCTGGCACCTCATTTCCAACGGGGCACGTCCCTGGGCTGCTGCAGTGCTTTGCCGTGGATGGGAAAGTGTGAACTTAGTTTGACATAAAAGCAATAAAACATGCATGGATTGAGGTATGGCACCCTCCGCACAGGATACAAAATCAATGAAATCTGATAAATAATAATAATTGTGACAGCGTAAGCTGAGGATGCGGAATAAACCCCACACTTCTCACTCAAGCTGTGATCCAAAGCCCACCAGGATCAATGGACAGGTCCACAGGGACCTCCCCAAGCAGCCCCATCCCCTTCACCAGTGTTCGCCAAACATGCCGACTGATTCCCTTCGGTCAGCAACACGCTGTGGTATCTCATTGCGTCACTGCTTCATTCCTAATGGTTTCTCTTTAACAGCAAATCATGGTATGTGCAAGATATGTCATTCTTAAATGGTTGATTTCAAGGGTGATGGTGTTGAAAGATCAGCTTTCATGAACACTGACAGAGCATATATTCACCCGCTCAGGCCCTGGCACCAGGACAAATGAAAGTCACACTGCAAAAACTCATGAGAAAGTAAATTAAAAGAATCAAAGCCCCGAGAGGTTTTCCTTTGGCATAAAAAAATATTTGAGGAAGGATAGTGAGCAATCAAGGAGATCTTTCCTTTCAGAGTGAATCACCGAATCCCGCTCAGCGTGAAGCACATGCATACGCGCTATAGGCAAATGCTGGTGAGCTCACCCAGCCAGGTCACCAACCAGGCCTTTTTGGGAAGGAACAAGGAGTCTCCTCCTCCTCTGCAGCTCTTCCTTCTGCTGACACCCAATGAAAGGCGCAGCGCCCACCGGACTGATGCAAGGCTCCGGTGATGCCGGTATGCTGCCGGAGGTCTTGACCAGTGTCCTCCTGTGATGGACATGAAACCAAAGCAGTAACTAGGTTCTCCTTGAGGACACAAAGACCTTATTCCATAATAACAAAACCCTGTTAAAGAGCCCCTTCTGCAGCTACAGCCTTCACTGTGTCATCTCTGTAGCATCATTAGAAGTTGCCCAGCTGGGAGCAGCCAGCTCTCCATCCATCCCAGGTGCTGAAGCTTGCCTGTGACCGTGGGCAGGAGAGGGAGAGCTGGAGAGTGTTGGATTCTCCCATGGGAACAGAGGTGCTGAGAAGAGGTTTGTGCAGGCCTGAAGGGTTCAGACCTAGAAGCAATGGCTTGACCCTAACAGCAATAAGAGCTGCTCAGAGCCAGAGGAGGAGAGCATGCAGTGCCCTGGTTCTGCTTGTGCCACCACAGCCGGCAGGAGTTTTGCTACACTTTGCTCAGCTTAGTTGATCCCTAAAGCAAAATGCACCAAGTCAGAGATCTACCCTCCAGTCTTACTCAAGCCTTTTGTCTAATGAATGAAACAGTATGACTTTATCACTTGAAATATTAGGACTAGAGAGCTACCAGGGACATAAACATCCAACTGCTCCCCGAGCAGCTTGTGCTAATAAGCAGTGTTTACCTGGGCCCTGACACTAGAGATATATAACACCTCCTGGCTGCTTGGAGAGATGATCTGGGTGGTCTTGGTTCATTTACTAACACATTAGTCCTCTGCCATTGTCAGATACTGCAGCGATATGTGTATTAACACCTTATGGGAAAACACAGTGGAAAAGGGATTTAGAGCATGCAGAACCAGTGGGTACCAGCAATGTGCATGCAGCCACTGGCAGCTAAAAGAGCCCAAAAGGGGTGAAAATAGACCAGAACTATACATTATGCACAATAAAAATGCTCTTGTGGGCAAGCTGGGGTGATTTAGCAACATTCAGGGCTAAACTTTTGTCTCTCTGGTATGCTCAGAACGATGCATCACCTCTGGGATGCTTGCATCAGCAGGAGTGACCATATCTGCTATGAAAGGGCACCATGGTGAATTCGGGAAGTTTCCCCAACAAGAAACATATAATTCCTCAGAATTTTGACAGACAGACTCAGCACAGTTTCAAGTGGGGTTTATTTACAGTAATTGCAACAAAACTTACTACTGTCAGTAAATTACACAATACATACAAGAACCTTTTTCTATTCAGCAACCACATATCTTGCATAGAAAGTTTCCTCTACTGATAAGGCAGAAAATATCATCTCAAAAGGAAACACAGGTTTCTAAAGCCTGACATACCTGCTAGGACCTATTCTTGGAAGCATGTCTCACCCCGTGCACCTCATTTCAGCCAGAGCAATCAGTGCTAGCAGTCACGTAAGACTGAGCCCAGATTTATGAGCACTGCTCTGCAGCATTAACTACACCAGAGTAGTTCCAGCAGGCACTCAACACTCACAAATATGCATTCCCTATACAAAAATATTATAATTTAAACAATACTTTTATTAAATGATCACAGCTTATGTCTGCTAGCAAGAGAAACCCTTTTAGATTTTCCCTTGGAGAGCATCCTTTGATAGAAGTCAGCTAAGCAAGTGCTATGCTGATTTGATCAAACTCAATATTTCCATCTTAATGCAAGACTCTGCTGATGCAGTCGCCTATGTACCTGGCTAGCAAAACACTTGGTGTTTGATCAAACACAGCTGCAATCAGTGAGAAACTGCACTGATACAGGACATCATTTTCCCGTTCACCATTGGTGTGTGCAATGTCCCAGCAGCTTCGTTAGTCCTGGCCGTTGGTGGGTCGTTAACACCTTCTGCTCTCTAATGAGATTT